CGATGACATCGTTGGCGCTCCAAGTATGAACGCGTTCAAGAACAGACTAGATAAAGCTATGGAAAAATATATGTTCAGATTTGAAATGCCTAGCTCCTTATCGAACCCGGTGGAAGTCTAGTAGCTACTTCAAACTATCGCCAGTCATGAAAAGATCCGGTCAAATGACACGAGTTTAGATCTATGAACAAGGCACGAAAAGAAAAAGAATCGGCGACAGGCCACATCAGGCCTACACTTCAGCGCCGACATCACTATGTTATGTTATGAGTGCTTAAGATATTTGCACTCTGTTCCCATCATGAATACTGAACCGTTCTTTAGACGGTACATATAATATGAGGATTTTCTAGATATCATGAAGGCTGGATATGGTCTGACGACCAATCCAATTGTCAGTTAAATAGTTAGTCAATTGGTTTTGTACAATAATTGATGGATTAACGCTTACTTTATTCCATGAAATGAGTTTAACTATTACATATTTAACTTCAGTCTTTTAGAAATGTGAATTTTTGGCGCATTTTGTCACAGTACTCAAAAAGGTTTCATTCAAGATGTTGGTGTATTGCATTTTGACGATAAGCCTGCATACTTACTCATTTTTCGTCTATTCAAATTTTTCTAATTTTTTTTATTTAGTTTTAACAACTTCACTTTTAACTAATTCTATGAACCCTCAAATGTGTAACGAATTGGTTAAATCAATCGATATCCGTTGGGCAGGAAAAACTGTTTCTAATCAATCGAACTGATGATCAATAATTTTCATGAACGACTTTCCTCCTTGTCTTCAGGTCCATGGGGAATGCGAGGACGGATCTACATCGACCAGTTCCGACTAGTTTTCTTGTTTCATTAAGTTTTCATGCTGTTATGATGATGATTTTCACTTGTTCTAATTATTTCTCTGGACTCATTTGAAATTAAAATTACGATTCCATGACTAATGTTGGCAGCATAGATATATTATAATGATTGCTGCATGCAACGGATTAACAAAAAGAAAAATTATCACAAGTATTTATTGTTACATAATATTTATGCCTAGCGATTCTGTGAATAGCGATTGCTAGAAGAGCCTGACTAGACGATAAAAAATGTACAAAAAGTCCTTCGACACTAACTACTTAGAAAGTATAGCTTAAATATTAAAATGAGTTACTTTAGCTACTCATCGCACGTTACCGTGAATAATAATTACATTCAGCCTCATCCTTCCTTGATGATAACATAATATTGATCGACAAGAAACCTATTCTAAACGTGGTACAATAGCTTAGACTACAATTCTTATGAAAATAACCCTCTGAAAACAAAATGTCTTATCGACTTAGCGTTAAATTTTCATTGCTTTTATCTGTTTCAATTGTGAATTTCAAGTTAGCAATTGTTTGTTTGATTCCCAGAAAATGATTAGTTTGCGATTCCAATAAATGATATTTATAGACTTCTCCCGCATTGACGCTGCAAGCAATTTTTAGTAAAAAAAAATGAAGTTAAAAATCCCATTTAAGAGCGAGGAATGTTCTGTGCCTGAGAATTAAAAGGCTCCACAAAACAAAAAACTAAGAGGAATATTAATTTCTTTCACTCATACTAGTTGCCCCATTCTCCGAATTGGGCAACTCACGTTGCACGCAGCTTCAAACTCAGTTTGAAGCTGCGTGCGCCTTCCTTCATTTGTCATTATTTCGATTCGAGCTTTGTCAATGTTCTAATCTGTATTTATGATTCAATTTATTTTTAATCTCTGATTTATTTCAAACAGAATATTTAAATACAGCTAAACGAAGTATTTTTTGCAAATTCCTAGTACTCGTGCTGAACCTAAAGTTACTGATGATACAGAAAAGATAAGACACGTTGAGGGGAGACACTAACAAATGGAGTGTGCAAGCAAGACTCTTCCAACACAGGTGTTTCCAGCAACACAATGTTGAAAATAGAAAGGGTTATTGAAACAAATATTGGAGCCCTACTTCTTTCTAACTTGAGCTTATTGAGGGGACCATAGATTTGGAATGAAACATACCAAATCTAAATTCCAAATCTAAATACCGTTGAGAACACGTGATCCGCTTTGCGAACGAAATAGAGCGGCATTGCGTCTTGTGAAGAGGACGTATATTTTATACATGTCCATGGCGGGTGTGTTTGTAATAAAAATATTTCAGTGCATACAGTGCAACCAGAATGATTAGTTCTTGCCAGCACGCAGCAACAAGTGCATTGAAGTGGCTATCAACAAGCGGCTAAGAAGTGGGGGCAAAACCAATCACCGGTGCTAGATAATTATGGTAAAATCGGGCGCCGATACGGGGTAGGAAGGGCAAAACCAGGCATCGATGCTAGATAATTATGGCAAAACCAGGCACCGGTACGGAGTAAGTAAAACAAAACCAGGCGCCGGTAGGTAGGTACGATAAAACCAGGCACCGGTAGATTGGCCTCTCTGAAGGGAAGGGGTTACACGGAGGCTGAAGGCTGCCTTCTTGCTTGGACGAAAGGACAATGTCGATTAAAGTATAAAAACGCTTTGCCGAATTTCAAAAGAAAGACTCCCCTTCTTTCGCAGAGAAAGATAAACTTCCTTTGCTTGATGAGAAAAACACTGTCCCTCCCCAAGTAATATTGCATTGGTACTACTTTTCCTATAAAAGTACACTCTGTCTATCCTTAAAGGGAGAATATTCTCTTGCTGAAACTACACAAGTTCTTTTTCCCTTTGAAGAGATTAACACTTTCTTTTCTTGAAGATAAATTGGTGCTGAAGGCAATTCTTTCCCTAACACAGGAATAACCTTCCTTCTCTCAAGGAAAAAGGCACTCAAGAGTCCGTCCAGAGAACACGTGATTCGCAACCAACGAAACAACAGAGACCAATCGACCCAATGCGCCCCAAAGGTACAAGGTCTTTATACGTGGAAAACAAGGCAAGAAATTAGTCATCATATTTAGAAGTATTCGAACACGGAAACAAGATTGTTCGATACCTAACAGATGATTTGAGAAAATGCATTGAAACGTTTGAGTTCATTCCAAACGTTAGGCATTGACGCCGATCAAGCAGAGGAAATTATCACTGCTCTTTTTGTCATCTTAAGGAATGGAATTGAATCATTTCATTCAAATTTTTGACACAAGATGTTAAAGATAAAATTTAGGAATTGTAGGGGTTAATCTAAGAAAATTCCTGTATCAGTTGGTTGGATGGAACGAGAAGGATTGATGATAAATCATTCACTGTCGGCGAAACGCTATTGCACTTCGGTTTGTTGGAGGTGCTGCACGGTCAGTGATATGAAGAACCTTCATGACGCACTATTACTATAGTCTGTACGATATTTACCGTTAATTGTCATCAAGCTACAGAAATTAAATTACGAAGATTAAAATATTCTTTAAGAAATATGAGATTTCACCAATACTTACTGCTGCAAATGTTTAGTAAAACTTACAAAATATTGCACTAATGGCAATTACGTAAATGCCATCAATGAGTATGAATTTGCTGAGAAGTCTCAAATTTACGGACAAATTTTACATTTCATTTCATTTGCGTGCTGGCACGATTGTTTTTATCATTCAACACACAGAATTATCGCGATCACTTTCTCCTCAACTCCTACCACAAATATTATTTACATTTATAAACATTCATTGAAAAGCATCTTAAATTCATGACATCAGAAGGACTTATAAAAATACAAGTAGAAAATTATACATCAGAGAAGCACCGGACGTACTTGATTGCTCTTCCTTGTGCTTAACAAGTATTAAAATTATGCTGATTAATTAAAAATACACATCGACTTTCCTTTATGACACCAAAAAGACGAGTTGAAAAATACCAACTACAATTTATTCATTAAACAACGCAGTAGAGTTCAAGCATTCAACACCTCATTCAACTTGCCCCAGCAGCCTGTCTCACAGATTCAACTTGCACCAACAGCCTGCGCTCACAGATTCAACTTGCCCAGCAGCCTGCGCTCACAGATTCAACTTGCCCAGCAGCCTGCGCTCACAGATTCAACTTGCCCAGCAGCTGTCTCTTATACACATCTAGATGTGTATAAGAGACAGCCCAGATTCAACTTGCCCCAGCAGCCTGCGCTCACAGATTCAACTTGCCCCAGCAGCCTGCGCTCACAGATTCAACTTGCACCAGCAGCCTGCGCTCACAGATTCAACTTGCCCCAGCAGGCTGCGCTCACAGATTCAACTGCACCAGCAGCCTGCGCTCACAGATTCAACTTGCACCAGCAGCCTGCGCTCACAGATTCAACTTGCACCAACAGCCTGCGCTCACAGATTCAACTTGCACCAGCAGTCTGCACTCACAGCAACATACCTACTTATCACAAATATGTAAAATTGCTCGACATTAAAAATGAAATTTTGTGCTGACTACTTGAACGTTTCAAATAAAGGAAAAAGAATAATAAGCACGTATACAAAAAGAAAATTTGTTACGAAGTACACATTATTCATCGTTTAAATAAACTATATACCTAGCAAAATGAAATCTATAGCTCAATTAACGAAAAATAACGAGCTCTCATCAAAAAATAGGGCAGGTGTATTTTGCAATATCAAGAGCTGACATATTTCATAATATCCAGAACAGGGGCACTTTTTATATCCACCGAAGATTTATTTTTAAATATGCAGAGCTGAAGCATATTTCTAGTAAGCAGAGTAGATACATTTCTCAGTATTCAGAGCAGATATATTCTTCATTATCCCGAGCACAAATAATTTTACTATGCATCTTATTGCACGAATTCTTCACTCCTTGACCATTGGCCACGCTATTTTAGCGTCGGTGCGCTTGAATGCGATGATGCAGTGATGACCGGAGTGGCTGAGCTCGTTGCGGACGCTCTGCGGACACTCGTTGTCCCCGAGCACAGACTCTGTAAAGTGCGAGTTTTAGTATAGAATATAGTAAGACTTATTGAGTTGTCTCCGAGCACCGACTCTGTAAGTGTGAGTTTTTTTATATAATATAGTAAGACTTATTGACCCTATTACCGTACCTCTTATCAGAAAGCTGGAGAGATTAAACTCAAAAGAAGTTCTCAGTAAAACTGGCATTATTTTTAACCAAACATATTTAAATGAAGGGCTCTACCCTAAATATACAAATATAGTATAATTGGACACTCACTTTAGACTTTAGTATATAATTTAGTATATATAGACACTCCGTAATATTTAAACACAGATCAATAATACGGTGATTATAGTATTGCATAGTTATTATACCGACTACCGACCGATTATACCGACTTTAGTATAGAATATAGTATAAACACGGGTAGTTAATGGCCAGAGAATTCATCAATTTAAATTTTCAGGGTCAAATTTAAATTGACTGAAATTTTAAATTGACGAATTCTCTGGCCATTAACCACCCGTGTTTAAACAAGATTATTCTGCCTTCTTATACTAACTAAGCATAGTATAATTAGATACTCACTTTAGGCTTTAGTAATAATTTAGTATATTAACACAATCCATAATATATAAAAACAGATTATTAATACGGTGATTATAGTTAATAAGTATAGTTAATATACGGTGATTATCATACAAATGCCAAACTACTAAAAACGGCGATTTTGCCATCTGCGAAGAAATTAGTGCCTCTATAAGGATTGTCACGATGAAATGATTAAATTGATAACGAATCGAAACATCATTATAAATTTATTTCGAGCGTATAGGAACTTTAGTATAATTAAGAACCAAGTGGATTCGGAACTTGATTCACAGAGTTCGTTACAAATGCTTTGCTTTATTAATAACTAACTTCTTGTACGTAATAAAGAATCTGGAAAATGATATTTTAAGAAACAGTGAAAATGGTTTTTATAGTTGATGGGGTATAGCCTTAACCGCGTGTAGTTAATTTTATATTTTTAAGTGGTATTGATTTTATTTAAAATTTCATGGAAAAATGAAAATTCTGCGAAATGGTTCAGTATTTTAACGTCAATTTTTACATAATCACAAATCCACGTATATAAACACTATGCATTTCATTGTTTGAAAAAAGCTCATTACAGGTAAAAAAATAGGCAAGCTTATAGTTAACGTATCGACATGTCCCAAAACAATATTCAGGAGAAAACAAAGTATAGCTAGTAAGTTAGAAAACTTTCAGCTAAATTTCGACATTTCTCACCACAATATTCAGGAGAATATAGGTAGAAAGCTGACAAAATTTCATTTAAATCTTCATTCCTTGATCCCTTGTGAATCAAGTCACGAAAAATTCAAGAATCGGCAACAGGCCATGGGCCTATTTCTTCAGTGCCGACACTTCTATTTTATTCTATAAAGTGCAACACTACAATATTAAGAGAAAACTAAGTATAGCTAATAAGTTGGCAAACTTTCATTTAAATCTTCAACATGTAACACTACAATATTCAAGAAAAAAACTAAGATAGCTAATAAATTGGTAAACTTTCAGCTAAGTTTCGACATTTCTCACCGCAATATCAACATGTACCACCTCAATATACAAGAGAAAACTAAGATAGCTAATAAGTTGGCAAAGTTTCAGCAAAGTTTCGACATTTCTCACCGCAATATTCACCATAGCCATCAACGAGTTTGTAGAGGCCGTAGTCCTGAGGGTTGGTGACTCGCATCTTGTGTGCCATCATCTTGCATACCTCCCGCGTGGTGGTCGTTGGCCGCACCGGCAGCGTGCGCGTCACGATGCTTCCGTTCTTCTCGTCCGGTACGACAATTTTTAGCGTGCCGGGTTCAGAAATAACCGAAATATCCTGAAATATTTAAAAAATGTTTCATTTCTGACAGCCACTTTCAGTTAAAAAATGTTTAGGGTAGGAATAATTTACGGTAAATTTTCAACCTTCTTTGGTTAATTCTAATCTATTACATTTAATGTCATTAAAATTTTAAAAATATTAAAATACCTCACGAAAAAAATATTTTGATAAAATAAGCTCAAGTTAAATGTATTAAGGGAGAAAACCTCATTAGCATTCCATAACACAACACAAACTATGTACACAACACAAGCTATGTTCACAACAAAAGCTATGTTCACAACACAAACTATGTTCACAACACAACTATGTTCACAACACAAACTATGTTCACAACACAAACTATGTTCACAACACAACCAATGTTCACAACAAACTATGTTCACAACACAAACTATGTTCACAACACAAACTACGTCCACAACTCAGTTCCTATCCTCTACAAATTGTAAATAGATTGTACCTTCTCCACATGTTATCTCATTTTTATTTCTTTTATCTTCGATTTTAGTTCTAATTTCCTCAAGTTTAGGTGAATTGTTTGAATGTGAATTTTAGGCTACTAATTGTTTGTACCTGTGTTCTAGGTTTTGAACTGACGATGGAGCTGGACTCCGAAACGTTTTTTCTTATAAGAAATGGTTCACTTTTTGGCTATTTTCTTTACTTTTAAATATTTTCTTCTTTAATTGTCTTTACACAACTCACTTGCTTCACCGAGTCCAAACTATTGCCCGGTGTCGAGTCAGGGGAAGGAGCTAGATGCTTCAGTGAGTGGATGGCTGAGTGGAAGGCTGTAAGATAATACTTCGCTTCTCCGCAACTCGCTGAGGTGAGCAGCAAACCTGACATGTAGTCTGCCTCGATTTCCGCTGAGAAAAACCCAGTGTGGCTGAGAACCCACATGATCATCGGGACAAGGTCGTCGGCATCTCCCGTGAACGGAACGGAGGTTTCCGATAACTGCCACGGAAATCGTAGTTCAAAATTAGTTACAAGTGAAATGGTCGCAAGATGAGAAGTCACAAATAAGTTATATTTGAAAATATGAAAATTACGCTCACGGAGTGAAAATTAGACGCTCACAAAGTCAGCTTTTTCGGTGATTTGAAACCCATTTTTGAGTAAGCGCTGCTTTCTCACAATAAACATTAGGGACACTGAAGATATACCTCGGTTACGTTCGAAACTCACTGACGAGATAAGAATATTTGTGAAGTAACGACAGTAGTTCTTTTCCATTTATGAACAAGCATCGCTCCGCGATTCCCTGAAGCCATTCGACAGGCGATAGCTGACCAACATTGAGGATAAACTTCAGCTAACAACCTGAACTAAATTACTGTATTTACCAGAACTTTGAGGCTGTTTTCGAAGTAATTTCGGGGCTTAAATTCACGAGCATCTTCCTATTTTCGTTATTTCATAATTATTTCCATCCAAATCTCATTATTGAGTACTATCCTATGTAGATGATTTTTCTTGTGACTTATGATACACGGTATTGTGACTTATATCGATCGAAATTTCAATACTCAATGCGGGTTGTAACTTGATAAAGAATGTTGATACATTCGAAGTGTTATTAATAAACTTTAGATATCTCTCCTTTATTCTAATTTTCTATTTATCAGTTTAAACGGAAAATATTATAAGATATATTGAAAAACTATTAGGAAAATTGTCAATGAAACAAATTCTCTGGTCTTCAATGAAACCTGCTTAGTGGAACAAATTCTGCCATCCTATACTCATATTATGATAACATTTAAACTTTAATAATAATGTTATCCCCAAAGTAAAGTCATGCATTAATTTTTTAATACAAGGTCCCCTATTTTTTTAATGCCGCAAGACTTCAGCGATTAATTTAATTACATAGTTTCAATTTAGGTGCATTGATCTGAAAACACTGATTGATATTAATAATTTATTGCAAGCACTTCACATCTAAACCATCACCGTTCTTGCAAATTTAACACGTAACATGCAGAAGTTGTGGATGTCTCACCGTGTGGTAGATGCCTCACCGTGTGGTAGATGCCTCACCGTGTGGTAGATGAGAGATATGGTAGATGTCTCACCGTATGGTAGATGAGAGATATGGTAGATGCCTCACCGTGTGGTAGATGAGAGATATGGTAGATGCCTCACTGTCAGGTAGATGAGAGATGTGGTAGATATCTCACCGTGTGGTAGATGAGAGATATGGTAGACGTCTCACCGTGTGGTAGATGAGAGATATGGTAGTCAGCAGGAGCTCAAGCTTCTCCCTGGGCGCGTAGACGCGTTGCATCTTCACCAGCAGGCGCTTGAGTTGCTCCAGCACGGCACCCTTTGGGGGCAGCAAACCGGCCTGCACCATCACAGGGCATTACATTTTAAAGACATTATGGGTATTTTGTTATTGACTTAAGATTACAATACAGTTTTGTATAGTTCTTAACATAATGGAAATTTGCGAGTGATTCACGTTATTTTGGGCATTGCATTTTACAAACATTATTGCTTAGTTTGTTATGGACTAAAGATTACAATACAGTTTTGTATACGTTTAACTTAATGAAAATTCGCGAGTGATTCCGCCTATTAAGTTATTGTATTGCTGTGGCCGTGGAACGAAACGGACGTGCCGTTCGATGCCACATTTCAAATCCTGATCAAATGTCATGATTTGACATTTGATTTGCCTGTTTGGCTCTACTCACGCATCTTGTACGGTACTGAGTTTTCCATTGGAAACTCTGGAATTTAGTACAGTAAGCGAAAAATTAATGCGATTTAGATAGATCGCAAACGGATAAAAAAGCGTTTTCTTCCTAGGCTTTTTCAAGTGTCTACATTTTACTCAATCTATTTAATTTGCAGCAAATTGGCATGATGTTCAGCCAGTGAGTCTGTTCAGTAAAGTCAGTAAGTAAGAGAGACCAAAAAGATACAGAAGAAAAGTGTTGTGTTTCAGTAAACATAGCGGCCAAAGCTTGCGTTGGTAAACCTAGAGGAGAATGTCTTGAATACAAAAAAAAATTGGACAATCGGCACTAAGAAGTAACTCATGCAGCCAGTTTTGTCACTCCAAATGTTCACTATTTCCAGAATACTAACTTGCAAGACACATAAAATGCTTAAAGAATGAGGAGTGGTGAGTACCAAATTTAGATGAACAACAGGGCGGTTCCAGAAACTAAGGCAACACAACGGCACCACAACCTACCGGGTGAAAAATAACAAAGAGGACTCGATATCAGTCGCAATAATTTTTTAGGCCTGCAGGGGCAAGTAGATCAGATCAAACAGCAAATGCAACAGCTGCTGACATTGCAACAACAACAACAGCAATTACGGCAACAAATGCAACAACTGCTGTGTCAGATAACCCTGACAGAGCGGTGTTGCAGCAACAAAGAACGCATGGAAGGGAAGTGTCTGACATCACGATAGCAACATCAAGGGCTCGCATATGCATAGGGAAGGTATCTTTGTACCTAAAAAAGAACCGATTTTAAAATGGTTGACCAATATGACACGAAGATTAACATTTGTGAAATACTTCGAAAACAAAAGTTTTAGCTCCCTTGACATGGTTTCGGATGCAGGGCCGAAGTATGGAAGAGAGTAATAAACAACATTCCTACTGTCGCGCTAGGGAGCAATCTCATTGTACCGCTTGGACATGACTTTCTTTATTTCGGTAAACACCAGATTAGTCGGGAATCCATTCAGCGATAAGATATTGCGTAAGAATTCGAATTCAGGGCATGGTAAGTAGAACAAATACGAAAGCCCCGATGTAGAAGTGTCTGAAGCTCATTAATCTCAAATCGAAACGAACGAAAGCTAAAAAATCTGGTACTGAGACCTGTGGAAGTCGATTTTCAGAAAACAGAAGTTTGAAAACGGCCATTAGATTTAGTAATATTGCAATCGAGCAAGGACAGGCTATTTTTAAATTCGAGCTCCAGAGTTAGTTTAATGGATTTATGTTGCGAATTTAGGTAATGGAAGAAGAGTTTGACGTGAGAGGGATGTTTTAAAATTAAAAAGTGTCATCAACGTATCTGTTGTAGAATATTGGCTCAAAATCAAGAGGTCAATTGGACAGCCAATAAACTTCGTGAAAACATATGAAAATCTTTTTCGGAATTATCTGTTCTAAACTCTTTTTTCACATTTGCTGACAAGTTTTACCGACAGATTGACGGTTTGGGCACGGGTCTTCCGCTCGGCGCAACCTTTGCGAATTTTTTATGTGTTCAAATGTATCAGATGTATTAAAATACAATGGCGTCAAATCTTGATTCCCACTTGAATTTAAATACCATCAAGTCATACCCTAATGCACAGTTGTATCAAAATATATAAAACATCATTAAGTCGTAAGCTGATGCCTATTGGTATCAAAATATCATTATATCCATGACTAAGTCATACCCTGATGCCGAGTTTCACAGGTTGCAAGGCTCGCGCTAACGTCATGTTGTTAGCCAGACGTTGTATGGAGTCGTTAGCAGAGTAAGCGTTGACGTAGAGCGTCGTGATGTGGTGCCATAGACGACGTAGCACCAGACGTACGAGAACGTCTTCGAGAATAGCGTCCATGTTAAGGAACTCCGTAGCTTTCAACTGGTGAAATATCAACAAATAATAGATTTACGCATCAAAAATTAGATCAGTACTCACTGCAGTGAGTGACAGAGAGCGCATTTTCTCGTCCGTCCATGACGTGATGTCGTGGACGGACGGACGGACATGACGAGCACAATAGTGCCTTTTTTTCCATACATGAGAAAATGCGCTAAAACAAATTGAGAACGGGCAAAAAATCGCAGAATACAACAATATTCCAAAATACAAATTTAATATTTCCAAAACTGTAATAAATCAGTCAGTTTTCTGGAAATGCAGGTCTATCTCTATAATAATTTATTACTATATATGTAGTGTTCACGAGATTTTCACACCATTGAACATCGCTAAAAAATGTGTAAACATTTCAGATTATTACCGATAAAGTTAAATTTTTCTAACTTGCAGTACCAGAGAAAATGAATAAATATCGAGCCCCATAGATACTGTCTATGGTGAATTTTTCAAGTAGGCAGACAAGAGGGATGATAAAAAAGTATACATAATTACACATATATCATTTATATTTCAAAAGGTTCGACAAATCCTAAATCAAAATTCGAATAATAAAAAACAAATTATAATTTATATTTCAAGAGATTAGATAAATCCTAAATCAAAATTTCGAATATTAAACAACATTTAGATGCATGAAATACATTCAAAGCCTAGTCAACATTAGTGCAGAATGTTATTCGACATTATTCGAGTATTGATTATTCGAGTAGAAGAGGTAACAAAGCATAGTCAAAATTAATGCATAATGTTTTTCGACATTTGGTCGATCGAGTATTGGTTATTTTAATAGAAGACGTAACAGATAAAACTAAGTAACCGAAAATCACAAAAGATTCTGAGTCTCACATTGCTTCGCTCCTTCTTAACGATATCTTCGAACTGCTTCTCGCCGCTGGTGACGAGATAGTTCTTCATACCCGACATGAACTGTCGTACGTTACGCACTACAACCTCGGGGTCCTTCTCGCTCGTCTCCAGCGTACACTTAATGAACTGCTCGATGTTCTGTGCAAACATCGAGGATTTGTCCGAGCCAAGCTGCAGGGAATATTCGCGGATGGCGTTGCCGCTTTCCGCGTCCTTGCGATGACGTAAAGCTAAAAGTTGCGGTGAAACTGAAACATAAGATTAAACATGAGACATGAAAGAATATCCAAGTTTAAACAAGTTGGTTGAGTGTTGGTTAAAGTGGAACATAATACCGAATTACGGCTTGAAACTTTGATATCAAGATGCAGAGCAATGGTAGAGAAATGCATTAAGAGTAAGAATTGGTATGCACAGAATACGAGTTTTTCTTCCTTTTGATCGAGAATCTTACGCAGATCAAATGAGGGAAACGAAACTCATTGTTTACAAATGCTTTTGCCGTTCAGGTATAAAAGCCAGGTAACTAGAGTTATCGCTAATAGCGGGAAAGTTTAGAATTCTTGAACTTACGGATTTTGGAACGAATGCTGGAATCCATGATTCTGTTCTGAGGCAGCGCAAATACAGGCATCCCTGTCACGGATCCGCAATCTTCCTCGCTGCCCGCGCCAGATTCCCGGTTCGCTTGGTTCCGTTCCGCGCTGATTCTTCGTTCCCAGTCAGCGAGTTGCGGACGCGCCGGTGTGCCGGAAAGGCTGATGGGTTCAATTGAAGATTCGTCATCCGTTTGGAGCAAAGAGTCCCATTTTCTGGAGTCCCAAGGCTCCGAAAATTCTGTTCCAGAATCACTAATACTCGAAGACAAACAGGGAGCGACCGGAGAAGGTGTTTTTGCCTGATAATTCATGTTTGAGTCTTTCTTATTGTTATTATTCGAACGAGACCCACAATATCGGCCTGCCACGTTGTCGTACTCTGATAATTTAGTCACGGCGCTCAAGGAGATCGATTGCGTGTCTGGCATTGGCAGGTCTGGCAACTTTTCAGTGATCAAATCAATTACAGTTTTCTCACCAACAATCAAACTATCGCACTCGCCATGAGTTTCAAGCAAGGGAAATCGAGCATCGCTACTTGGTGAGCCAGAGTTTGCGTTCTTTGAACCATTATCGTCCACCTCGCACGGTTGGTAACGCCAAGAGTAATCCAGCCGCCATGGAGGTCTGTTGTTGACATTCGCATCATCTGAAGTTCCCGGCGACAAACTGTCCGCTGAAACTTTAGGAGGAACGACAGGTTTGCTCCGGGAACCGCGAACGTTCTTGCTTGGTTTCCTCAGCATCAAGTCATCCCGGTTTTCTTTGTCAACGGCTAGTAGAATGTTTTCAGCACTGCTAGAAAAACCGTTCATATTCTCGCAAGTATCGATTTTACTAACGAATTTTGCATTTTGTTTTGATTTCCACTGGATATTGGAATCGGAATATCTATTGGCAACCCTACGAGCCAAGATTCTATTGGATGGAGTCTTCTTAATCCTCGCTCTCTTCTCCTCGTCTCGGATGCAGTCCGCTGGCTCCACGTAAAAAGGGCTGTTCGTGTTACGAAAAGGAATTGAATCAAAACTGTTCCCGTTGGCTTCTGTTCGTCTCCGAACATCATCCATGTCATCACACGCAAAAATTGAAGATTTAGTTTGAGATACATCACTCAAATCTCCTAAAGATTTTGATATTTCGGTGTTAGGCTTAAATGATGACTTCCTTGACATCTTTTTGGGACTCGTGCATTCCTTTGAAGTTGGCGAAGAAGGAATTTCTCGTGGTGGACTCGACCAAAGATCTTCATAATCACTAATTTTGTCAGCCAATGAGGACCGGTAGCACTGTAGGTTGTCGATGACGTTCACGTCGTGGTAATGATTAGAATATCTTCGCCTGTCCTTGTGGGACCTCCTGAGTTTGGCTCGACTCTCCCCACCTTCTTCACTCATGGGAGTACTGAGGGGCGTCGTGGGGTTGCACGGCGTGCAAGGCGTACTCTGAGGAGACGCAAAATTCTGACGGATTCGAAGATCGAGTTGATCCCTATTCCTGCTGGATCCTGGACAATGGCCGCTAGACTCAAAAACTGGCTGTGGGAGACATGAAACCACATGGGAAGAAACTTCGATTTGTTTTTGAACGCATGTAATGTGTTTAGTTTTAGAAACCTGGTGCAATAATTCACAGGATTCCATAACTTCATGGACACGTTTCTGCGATCCGACGTCATTCGGTGAGTTGTCTTCAGCAGCTAACTGGACAGAACTGGGAACTTGTCCTGGGGTTTCTTTCGCCATGTTTAGTGGGAAAAAAAGCGTGGTAGTGATCGTTCCAGTTGGATTTGCAGTAGCAATAGTAGACTTTGACCAACGAGGCGGAGGTAAAGGAGGATTACCAGAGGTTTTGGTTCCTTTGGTGAACCCAAATCTAGATGGAGGGCCGCCCGATGTGGGTGAGAGTATCCCACCTAACGACTGCAGGTGAACGATGGTGGGTGACTGCAGTAAACCAGTGGTGGTGAGTGTGGGTGTGTGGGCGATGGTTGGTGTGTGTACAAGTGCAGGAGGGTGGATGAGAGAGGGTGTATACACGGCCGACATGTTCGAAGGGCTCACTCGAGGAGGCGGTTGAGGTTTCGACACGGGAGTTGAGTTTTGACTTCCACCTTTGAAAGATAAAAACGTCGGGGGTTCTTTGAGAATCTCATCAAGAGGAGCGAGATTCAAGTGAAGGGAAGAACGATCCAAAGGTTGTGGAGGCTGAATCCTTGATTTATTCTCCGGGTGGTCTAGAGTATTAAGGTCTGGCACTAGACCACCGCCCGCAGACTGCAGCGACACTAGGGAAGGTAGCGGTGAGGTCTCGGAAGTACACAGTAGAGGTGATAAAAGATCTCCGTTACTGGCCGACTTTTCTCTTTTACCGAAACTTGAGAATAAAACTGAACTTTGCTCCGCGGGCCGATTGAAGGAATCTGAAACGGAATCTGGAGTTAGTGAAGGAAATGCTTACATTTATAGTCAGTCAATCTTACTCATGGCTATTATGTATCTTTACAATACACGGATGGCTGAATAACCTGATTCATCAATTAGGCAGGTTTTGTAAAATGAACATTCAAGAAGATATTTACGAAGCATTGAGAAATGTTTTCAGAAGATGTAAGTAAAAACCTTAGACCGAGTGCTTTAGTTTTATATTACATATTCATTTCATACGAACCGTGAAGTCAAAACACAGATGACTTTCGCATTTGTAAAAATAAGACTGAGCTAAGCCTAGGCGAAGACGAAAATACGATCTGCTTTCTTCATATTTGAACTAATACGTAATAATATCTCCAGAATCCATACAAGCTAAGGCAAAATTATTACTAATAATATATTCAATTATTGCAATGCACGGCGCTCGATCGATGATTAAAAAATTACGGCAATTAAATAAAAAAAAAACAGAAACGCACCTGAGTGCGAGAGTGCGGACGGCTGGGGAGGCCGCGGCTGGTCCGCGTGTGCAGAACCTGAAACTGCGGAGCTGTGCACAGACCCAACCGTGCGCCAGTATTCTGGCCGGACAAGTAATGATAATCATTAATATATATATATAATTTATTTTATATAATTATATTTTATATTTCGGCAAAGTATTTTGTTATGAATATATAATTATATTTCCGCAAAGTATTTTGTTATGAATATATAACTATATTTCCGAAAAGTATTTCGTTATGAATATATAATTATAGTTCCACATGGTATTTCGTTATTGATATATAATTATATTTTCGGCAAAGTGTTTCGTTATGAAGATATAGAATAATATTTCGGCACAGTATTTCGTTATGAATTCAAGATGAATGTGAATTTCACGGCCACATGCTAGCCTATGCAACAGTCAAACAAACCACATATGAATCTGAACAATAAATTCCAAAGTGATATTCACAGAAAACAAATTTTAAAACTAAAAATAACAAGGCGAAAATTTAGTGAGGAACATTTTCCAGTCGGCAATCACCGGCAAAATGAACTACGGCATTAACAAACTAGAATGATGCATCATAATAAGAAAATTATGACTATTATTAGTTAAATTTGAGGATTACCTGTAAATTCATTATTTTCATTATCGATCCAAGCTATTTATAGTTTAATATTTTTCACATTGTAATATTCCGAGCGTTCACGTGGTACCTTGACCCAGCAGCGCGAGTGAGTGCAGCTCTTTACGTGAACGCGCCTCCTCCAGCCGCGCCGGCAGCCGCAGCTGCACCGGCAGCTCGTCGCTGTGCAGGATAACATAAGATAAAAGTTCATAAAGCGCGATATTATGTCGAGCGATAATATTCAATAACATAAATACAAGTTAATAAACGATCGTGAGAACGAGCGATATTATGACGATAATAATAATACTCAAGTTTAATTGTAAATTAGACGAGCGATAATATTAAAGTTTAATTATTCATTATTCGCGTTTACGTAAAGTATAGTGAGAACTTGCATCACAAAATCTTTATTTTAACGCTCCAGGCTCCACTATATAGTTGGTTCTTTTTGATGATATTATCAAGATTTTATGTTTTTTTGCGTTCACGTATAAATTTTTATAATTATGTTCTTGCAAATAAATGTATAAATATCAATAAGTGAAGTCATTCTCTCGTATTATGTAGATCATTTACATTATAAAAAAGTAGAAAATAGCACATTCGCTGGAATGTCAATGATGAATGTTTGTTGTTAATGTCGCCTAATTTACTTCAATAATTTAACAATTTTTATTCGGAATAAATGCCTATTTCATCATCAATATTAATGCACGAGCAGGCAGATCACTTGTGGAATCCAATCAATTTATAAAGAAATTTACTTAAAAACAACTTATCACTCCGTAGCAGCGGAGCTCGATTTGCTCTGCAAATAAACTTAGTATTAAGTTAAATGATAACATTTAAAACAACTTAAGTTAGTTAAGTTAGCTAGTTCCGTGGTGCGAATTAATAAACAACTGAAGATGGAAGGGAAATAATAAATCTCTGCAAATAAACTTAGTAGCCAGTTAAATTATTTACCTACTGATAACATTTAAAACAACGTAAGTTATTTAATTTAGCTAGTTTTAAGGTACGAATTAACAATATAACTAACCAACAAGCAGCATAGCGCTTTAGTTATTTAAGTTAGCTAGTTTTAAGGTACGAATTAACAATATAACTAACCAACAAGCAGCATAGCGCTTTAGTTATTTAAGTTAGCTAGTTTTAAGGTACGAATTAACAATATAACTAACCAACAAGCAGCATAGCGCTTTAGTTATTTAAGTTAGCTAGTTTTAAGGTACGAAAAAACAATATAACTAACCAACAAGCAGCATAGCGAGCGATAAGTGCCGACACGCTCTCAAATCTGTTCTCCGACGCCTCAAGGGAATACGTCACGACGTTGCTTGACGACGTAGAAGACGACGTCGAACTCGACTTGACGGTACACGAATTATTCGTGACGTCCTTTACGTCAGACGTCGTTAGCTTGGCGGGGTCACTGGGTTCACGTGATGTATTAAGTATATCGAGGAGATCGTGTTCATGGTTAGTTTGTTGGTTGAGGTTCTTGTCAGTTTGTTTGTTGTGTTTCTTGTCAGTTTGTTGGTTGAGATTCTTGTCAGTTTGTTTGTTATTATTTGAGTGGTGAACTTCGATAAGGTAATGTTCGATGTGAGGGCCTTTATTGGGTGGCAGGCGTACGGTGATGGCGAGAGTGTTGGGCTTGCTGCTCTGGCGCACGATGAAACTCTGGCAATAAAACGTTCAGAGGTTAGAATATTTAAAACAAATTCCGTGCCTAGAAATCATTAGATAAAAATATGAAAAAAGAAAATACGAGTATCAAGTCAACAAAACGTTCAGAGGTCAGAATATTTAAAACATATTCCGTGCGAAGAAATTATTAAATAAAAATATGAAAAAAGAAATTACGAGTATTAAGTCAGCAAAACGTTCAGAGGTCAGAACATTTAAAACATATTCCGTGCGAAGAAATTATTAAATAAAAATATGAAGAAAGAAATTACGAGTATTAAGTCAGCAAAACGTTCAGAGGTAAGAATATTTAAAACATATTCCGTGCGTAGAAATCATTAGGGTCAAAATGCAAAAAAGTCTCGACTATTCCGTGTACAGGAATTATAAGATTATTAAAGATAAATCTTCTTCTTATTTCTTATACATAATAACGATGCTTTCAATTCTTCATTTTTTTCAACATATCTTTGCTGAGATTTTTTTTTTAGATCTCACAGAACGTGGTAAACAAAACGTAAAATAAATATAGGCTAAAATAAAACTAGAAGGCGAAAATAACACTAGAAGCAAGGTACCCCAACACGCTGCGCCTGCAGCAGATGCACGGCGCCCAGGCGGTGCAGGTCAGGCAGGTACCAGATAGGCGCGGCCTGCAGCAGGCGCTCCTCCAGGCTGATCTCGCAGGGCGCGAAGCTCCCGCCGCTGCTGCTGCCGCTGCTGCCGCCTGACGCCTGGAGCAGAGGTGACCGTTACTGAATATTGGGCGTGCATTGTTAACACCGCACATTAAACGTGCATTGTTAACACCGCACATTAAACGTGCATTGTTAACAATGCCAGAACATTTGGTGCATTGTAAACACCACACCTTAAACGTGCTTTGTAGACACTGCACATTAAAAGTGCATTGTCAGCACCGCGCATTAAACGTGCATTGTAAACACTGCGCATTAAACGTGCATTGTTAACACTGCACATTAAACGTGCATTGTAAACACAGCGCATTAAACGTGCATTGTAAACACTGCACATTAAACGTGCATTGTAAACACTGCACATTAAACGTGCATTGTAAACACCGCGATTTAAAGCTAACAATGCAATTTTACACGAAACCCACCGGCCACCTCGATCTTCGTTATCTGTAACGAATTTCAGTGTTGATCACTTTAAATTCGAAAGGTTTCTTTAGTAACATATCAATTATTCGATGTACCTTATGATAACTTAATCCATAAGTTCCATGAGAAAATGCATTTAATTTGAATAATAAGAGGATTTTAATGATAATATATTACGGCAGGAACAAGGACTAGTGTTAAAAGATTTAAAAGATAATAATTATATTGTCGGATATAATGTGAATGTATGTATAATAGCTTCAATACAACGAAACACATTAGACAATTAGATGAACCATGAGCAAAAAAAAAAAAAAACAGCAATGCAGCAAACGAAAACATCGAAATAAAATGCTTAAGACGTCACATTCATGTATAGGTTAAAAAAGAATGCATAGAAAATGAGAATGAACGAAATACACAAAAACGAGGCAGATACGCGAAATAAACGTGAAAAATACCAATCGTGCATAAAATATACTTCAGTCCTGCAATGAAGATGAAAAAAAAATGGATTGGGCCAAAACGTATTTCGATAGCAGCCCTCTTGGTTATTTAAAAAACAATAATGGTTTGAATCGTTCTTGTTGAAATCAGATGCTATAAAACTTGTTAAATGCAAAGAGTAGACACAAATCTAAGGCGGTGAAAGACTTCAGCTTCATAGCTTCAACTTATGTGGCCATGCGAAAAAAATTTGTGCTTGAAATTATAGCACAAAATGTGTCAAATCAGTAGGAATTGTGCTTGTTTTGAAGTAATATTATAATGAGCATTTGAATTGCAATCTTTACAGCGATAAAAAATGAATGAATTGTAATCTTTCATGTGCAAAGACTTTTCTCGTAGCTCCGTGATTAGAATTAGCCTGAATTAGGCACCTTATTTGTTTGCCAAGTTTCGCAATCAACTTCTAAGATTTAACAATTCGGGAAATTTTTTACATATATTTTGAACAAAATAGCCGAGTCTTGTTATGATGGTCGTCATGTCCTTATGTCAACAGGTATTGAAGAACATGATGTCATCGTCTCATCGCATCGTCATGCCTCAACATGATGCCATGAAGCATGCTCGTCATGCTACACAAAGCAAAAAGGAACCATAATGCCGAAGGCACATCATGCCATGAGGCATGCTCGTCATGCTACGCAAAGCTAAACCGTAATGCCGAATGCATATTATGCCATGAGGCATGACAATCATGCTACGCAAAGTTAAAAGGACCCATAATGCTGAACGCATATTATGCCATGAAGCATGCTCATCATGCTACGTAATGCTGAATGCTCATGAGCATTCAGCCTTTAATGCTGTCATGAGGCATTCACATCATAATTAAGGCTAATTATGTCTCATCATGTTGCCTGCATAGGCTCATGCCAGCAGCCACGGCCGCAGTGAGGCGCATAGAAGGCGAGCCTCATAAAATAGACCGGTGATTACGCGTCTGATGCAAAAGGAGCCCTCATAATTCACGTCATGTCCTCATAATTCACGTCATGTCCTCATGATTCAGCCCTCATAAGGCGAGAGTGAGGGGAGAGAAGCTTGCCCTACACCAACTTGCCCTGATGAGACGGCCGCTACGGTGGAATATAATGAGATAAAACTGCATAACACTGAAGGTCTAATGATTCAAGTTAATTACATGCATGAATTCATCGGCAACTACAAGGGAAATGGTTAGAAATTTATTAATATTTAAGCGATTGCGCTATTAATTTTAATGCGTGCTAACAGTTTAATGGACACGATTGATCAATTGCCAGGTTTAATCAAACGTACGGCCTGTGGTAGGGACTGAAGAAGCAAGGATTATAAGACGGACAGAAGATGTAAGTAATTCAGTGTACTAAGATAATACTGATGCAAGATGTTTATTAATTTATCAACGTTTGTGAGGAGTATAAAATATCAAATAATTTAGTACCTATACAAAGAAAATAGGGGCGCAGTGATTATTTATTTATCAAGGTTTGTGAGGAGGACAAAAGGTTCAAGTAATTTAGTGTACGAAGAAAATAGTGACGAAAGATATTGATTTATTTATTTATCAAGGTTTATGAGGTGAAAATAAGGTTCAAGTAATTCAGTGTACTGAAACACAAGCTATGCTGAACATTTATCAATTTAAAGTTATTTGACGATGAACTGGATGCATGCGCGGGCACGTGTACGTGTCTTGCATGTGTACATGTGTGTATAAGCACGCGCATGTGTACATGTGTGTGTATGCATCTTCATAGTGATGCGCATGTGTGTGCGTGTTGTGTGCACAGCGATACGTGTGCGTGTTGAGTGCAATGCTAAGTGTGTGGGTGTTGCGTGCACTGCGATACGTGTGGGTGTTGCGTGCACTGCGATACGTGTGGGTGTTGCGTGCACTGCGATACGTGTGGGTGTTGCGTGCAATGCGAATTGTGTGCGTGTTGTGAGCAATGCGAAGTGTGTGCGTGTTGTGTGCACTGTGTTGCGTGTGCGTGATGTGAGGGAGGGGTGATGTGAGGGAGGTTTGATGTGCGGGGAGTGATGGAAGTGATGTATCAGTGATGGAAGTGATGTATCAGGAGTGCAGGGATGTACACCACAAGCACTTCACTTCCCACCACCGAAGGCATTGGAGTTTGCCTGCGTGATGGTTGAATAATCTCTTTCTTTATCAGCAGTTCCATGATATCCTGTCAACGTTCCACACGTTGAGGCGAAACAAATAATTTTGCGGCGTCGCCGTTAAAGAAGGGTCATCGCGTTTAATAGGCCGTCCTATCAAAATAAAATAAATAAAAAGGTAAACTAGCTGTTAATGGGCCGTACTATCAAAATAAAATAAATAAAAATGTCAACTAGCTGTTATTGGGCCGTCCGATAAAAATAAAGTAAATAAAAAATTCAACTAGCTGTTAATGGGCCGTCCTATCAAAATAAAATAAATTAAAAGGAGTCAACTAGCTGTTGATGAGCCGTCCTATAAAAAAAATAAATAAAAATGGTCAACTAGCTTAATGTGCCGTACTATCAAAATTTGCCTAAGTTAACATAGCGGTCGATTCTCGTCTGTGATTCGTGGGTTTAGCTTGTATAACCGTCAGTGATTGGCTGATCGATGGAGTTACGTTACGAACTCATAACTATTATTAATAGAACGGCCTTACACTCAAAGAAATCAGTGAAACCTTGTCCAAATGGCGAAGTACTTTTTGCCCTGGTATGAGTCATCCTGAAACAGTTTGGTCTAGCAAAATTCGTATCGGTGCTGCATCCCCTGTCTCCTTAATTGTACTTGGGGTAGCAAAGTATGTCAATATTAGGACTAATATCGACACATTATGGTTTATAGTGTATTTATAAACCCATAAACCAACTAATGGGTTTATGGTGCGAGTATAAACCCATTAAATTTTTTTAGTGGAGTATAAGACCTCAATGCATCAGCGCTAAATCTTGGATTTATTGAGCGTTCGACAGGAGGCCGGAGTCCACAATCAGTCTTGAAGGGACGTAGATCATGGAGAGCAATATTGACGATGTCTAGCCGAATATTGGTTAAATTTTCATGGTATTTGATGGATCAAGTAGTTACTGATAACTAATGATTAACCGTCAAATGAAAAAATTATACAGAGCAAAACTATTAATTATCTTGTAGTAAATAAAAAGTGGAGCACATTTATTGCGGACATATTATAATCCTATGCCGGAAAATTCAATTATGTAAACGATAAAATGGTATAAATTGATTTAATTAATATGCAATCCTCAAATTTTGCTGCGTAATGTTGTACTTTAATTAAATGTTGGACAAAAATGGGTGGCGTCTTGGCGATAAAGTCTACGGTAAACAAGACCAGCATTTAAATATCCGTTATAAAAAATCGTTGCAGACGTCGCAGATGTTCGATGATATACGGATACAAGCAGATGGTTCGACGGAAACTCGACCAATGATGCATGGTATAAATTCCATGTAGGGGAGATCACCTCAAAATTTATAACCGCGATACGCAAGAAGCGTCTAGCATCGGCAACTGCAAATGGACGTTCTTGTTATTTAATATTTTCATATAAAATTTCGTGGTAAAATAAAACAATTTCTACACTGAAGCGCTACTCATTGAAAAGTGTGGAACTGAAACGAGTTGGATGTCAGATGAAGACTGTTTTCTTTTGTTTCAGTAAAATTAGTTTCTTTTATTAAGGCGTCTTTCGAAATAATATTTTTCAAAGAAAAATTCTGTAATAAGCATGCGTATTTTTTACATAATTTCATACATACTACTCAACAACAGACGGCACACAACCTTCACCAGAAATTTTATTTCAATTTATTCAAATTAAAGGGATCACGGAACCAGCAAGCCAACACGGTAAGCAATAAGACTCATCGAATTCATCAATAAGGAAAAGAGGTAATTTAATTATAAAAGTGTTTAGAAAGGTGGAAGTCATAGGAAGACACAAATAGAAAATAACTTTTACGAGCAATTCAATGCTAAAAAAAGAGGCAGAAGGCGCATCAAAACGCTTGTTTTATGCATTCAAACGAATAACCGATTTACGAGACAAACGAAAGAAGGTGAGAAATAAAAGTAAGTGTTGTTAATTAAACGTGCACAGACAACCAAAGAACCAACAAACCTTATGAGTATCTTGGATATAAAGGTAAAAATGTAAATTTACACCCAAAATTTCACCTTTGCATAGAACATTCTTCCAGCATGCAACTACCAAAAAAAGTATAAGTAGAGCGCTATCGGTATAAATTAACTCCAGATTTAAAAAGTTACAAATATCAGAAATCACCACAAAAAAATGATCGAAACTGTCACGGCATTCCAAAGAACAATCAAAGCAAGAATATACCTGAGAAGAACCAGAATCTTCACCCAAGTCAGTGTCACAAGCAGCACCAACATCCGTGGCATATCCAACATTCCGCACATCGCAGCAGGGCGATGTTCGCAACATTGCACATCGCTCTTCTCGCAACATCGGGCGGTTTTGTTTTGGCTGAGGTTGATGTGGCTGCAATTTGACGACTAATTGTTGTTTATATAATGGAGGCTCTAAACAAATATCGGAAACCTGTCGGCGGTATTCAGAATGGTTTTCAGCATGAGATTGGTAATGATGAATACGATCAGAGGGTTTTTGTAGTAAAAGTCCCAGATCTTTTTCAGCAAGAGGCTGGATATTTTGAATGCGATTAGAGATGGTTTGTGCCGCCAATTCATTCTCAGACATGAGTGAAGAAATCTCAGGTTTTTGGAACTGAGACGAATTGTGCGAGTATTGGTCTGGGTGAACTTGAGGGGAAAAATGGTCAGTAGTTGACAGTGAAGTTGCATTAGTAGAGGCAGTGATGCAGTTAGAGTTGGAATAACTCATCACGGACACTTCTTCACTGAGCTTTTTATAGTCGAAATAAGCGATGTTAGATTCAGCGCTACAGGAAGACCCAACTACGACCAAAGAGTCCCGAGAGACAGGCTTGCTACCAAAGCAGTTATTTCCACTACAGCGCGTGGTACGACAACTATATTCACTAATGTGAGGAGAAGCACATGAATGAGTAATATTAGTATTTGAGTAGCTTGTGTGCAAATTAAATGGACACGATTCACTGTTATTTATCACCGTACTTTGGCAGGCACAGGAGCGATGACGGGAGAGTCGTAGAACACGGTCGTTTTGGCAGGCGTTTGTGAGCGGAAAGTCGTCAAGAGACTCGGGGCAGTCAGGGGGAAAATCGGAGGGGAAAACCTTGAGGTGCAGTCCTGGGTTGTTGTTGAAACTCTGGTCGCCACTGACAATAAAGTTTCGTTGCCTCCCACACCTGTCGTTAGGCTTGGAGTCTCCGACTCCAATGGGACGTGAAAAATACTTGAATCCTCCTGTTTCTTTTGTTTGTCGGGCAGCTGTTGTGGCTGATGCTGATGTTGTTGTTGAATGGTCGGCCTGAGGCGACTGTTCGGAATGTTCGGAGACTGTAATAAAGGTTCTTGTTGTATCTTCGGATCCAAATTTACGTGGAAAATGCTTGAGCTTGGCAGTTTTATTCCCAAGTTTTGTTCCTTTTGCCGTTGTTGCATATACGGTTCTGGCAAATCCTTGTGTTTCGTCTGCCGTCGAGGAAAAAGTTGTTGCTCCTGTTGCGAATTTAGTAGAGAGTCTAACAGATTCTCGTTCGAACGAGACGCCGTCTCGCCCGTCTTGATGAATATCACGGGGATTTCTGTAGACTGACGGAAATGTAGGTCTGAAGGATGAGGAGCTGCCGACGTGGCTGTGATGGTTGTCTGGGGAGGTGTCGAGGACGGTTCCGAGAATGAAATTGTCGTTGACGACAAGAGTTGGGTCGAAAATTGTGTTTGTTGTTCTGCGGTTGGTGATGGAGGAGGGCGATAAAAGGTGGTGCTGGAGATGACGGAGGGTTGGGGAAACGATGCCGTGGTCTCGCGTTCTGCAGCTTTTACAAGCGCAGGCGGGACTGTGGTCGAATCCGAAGGTTTCGGCAGGTAAAACGTTGAGTTCAGACTCAATGAGGTACTGTCCGGAGCGCGGGTTTTTGTCGACGAGTGTTCTGGGATTGACTTCGGAGTCTTTGTTTTTGAGGTAGTTACGGTTAATTGGGACTCCTCCTCGAATTCCTTGATGATGGTTGAGATTGACGGGATAGAGGAATGCTCGATTTTTGAGGTCGGGATCGATTCGCTTGTTTGGGATTGCCTCCTTATCTCCCTGATTGTCGAGATTGCCGCTGCAATCGATGACAACGTCTGCGCAGTGAGCTCGTCGTCTGTTTCCGTCGACGTCGAATGACTCGTTTTTGGAATTTTGCGATCCTCCGACGCTGTCTGATCTGTCACACCAGATTGATCCGCCAGAAGAATTGGAAGATTTGGAACCGATCGAGGAAGATCGGATGATTGATCCCCTATTTGCGCCGATGGATCCCGCAGACGAGGATCTGCTGTGGCTGGATCGCGAGGACGTAGATCCGATCGATGATCTAGGTTTTGAGGAACGGGATGAACTGGATTGCGGCCGGGGGAAGTGCGGGGATGAAGGGTTGTCGGGGGGCTGGAAATTGTGGGAGTCAGCCATCCATTCTCTGCAGATACCATGGCTCCTGGAGGGAAAAAACCAAAGCAGCGATTAGGTTTTTGAAGTATCCTGTAACTTCAAAGCTCTTATATATATATAATTACTATGATTAAAATGATTTTTCATTAAAATTATTTAATGAAAATGTTTTAAGCAGCATAAAAAAGCCAAGGATACATACGATACCGATAAGAACCTAACTAAAGGGTTAACAAATTATCTTTCACAAATTAAAAAAAAAAATCTTTCAAAAATTGTAAAACATAAGAGCCAAAGCAAGTATAAAATAATTCTAAAAGCCAAGCCTAAATATAGTACTGAAATATAGTACTATAGCATTATAAAAAAAACAAGAACCGAAGATTATAAATTTGAATAATATAAAAATTTTCAAGAAATGGCATTTAAAATCACTATAACCCCCTAAGCATCAATTAAATATAAAAGACGAAGAAAAGTAGCAGCGCTCAATGATGATAATTGATCACAATAATAATGAAACTATATAATTATTTATATTTGTATTTATACAAAATCTTAACCCAGAGTGCGATAGAAAGCTAATAAATTTCAGAATCGTACGCGAATGGCAGAGAGCAGTTACACATATTTGAATGCGTCAGGAGAATCAGTCGACATTTTATTGTGATGTGTAAAACTAATGTTTGGGTCATACTTGTAAACCTTTTATTAGCAAGTGAAAAAGTACTCTAGTGCAAGAATCAGTAGGTTAATTGAGAGTTAATGTTGTTAATGTTTTAATCAAGTTTATTTTATTTTACTAAAGTCAATTTTATTTATTTTAAGAATGTTTAACTTTTGATTAAATTTTATTTCTTACATCATCTTATTATCTTATTATATTTTGGTTCTTATGTCATCTTATTATCTTATAATTATTTTGGTTCTTATGACATCTTATCTTATTTTGGTTCTCAATCTTCCTTCAATTAAATCTCCATCTAACACTTAACTGATATATAATTTAACATCAAGTAAGAACAATGGAGGCAGAGAATCCCTGCAGACAGCGGAAGCCGTACTTGTCTCTGATATTCGCACAAAGCAAAATTTGCAGAAGTTGCGAGGCGTCCGTAACTTCGAAGAGGCTCTCTAACTTTGCCCGTATCCTGAGATAACGTCATCCGCCGAATAGCTTTCAAGTTCAACACATTCCAGGATAATTCTCGGCAACTACGATATGAGTGAGTAAATTCACGATTTATAGGTACGAACCTGTTGTTGAAACTCGAGCTTTCATTCTTAAGTGGAGACTTGCATATCGTTAAAGTTCGCTAAACATAGTACAAATAATTTCCATTCGTCACCACCCAATATAGAGCGACATATTTAGATTCTAAAAAAAAACTGACCGATTGATTTTTTGGATCAATGGATGCAATGACGTAATTGATCAGTCGTGAGACAACCATTTTAATGGAAAAAAATAAGAAGTCCTTCTAAAAGTGTAGCCAAAAATTTGACGCAGTGGCGCCCGTCTTTGATCGCATGGCGCACACGCCTTCGCGCTCTCGCTAGCTCAGCGGAATACAAACAAGTGCGGTGCCGGCGTCACCGCAAGCTACTTCCATTAAATTATGCTATAAGAAACTAAAATAATTACCAAGGACTCTACACACTCTTTCATCGATAAAAATTGTTTGTTTGATAAGCTTATGCATTAGAAATACAGGGGCAAGTCAACTAAGTATTCTAATCATGCGAAGACTCGCGGATATTAATTGCGAATGATCAAAAAATGCAAACAAGTTACTAAAGCTGATAACAAAAATTTTAGCTTTTGCTCACTATAAAGATACTTTAAACTGCTTTTTTAGTCATAAGTAGTTTTTTCTATGAATGGAAAAGTGGCAAAGAATGTAAAAAAACCTCAATGTATCGATGAAACGAAACCAAATTATCGAAGATTTCGTTTAATTCGTTGAGGTTTTCACGGACCTGAAAGCGTAACTAAGTTAATCAATAAATCACTAAGTTAATCAGTGTTGGTAATCAGTGGTCGGGTAGATTTAAGGCTGATCGTAACTGCCACCTTGGGTTGAATGGGAGCTGGCAGAGCAAAGTCTATCCTAGGCTTCAGGTTCGCTAATCAAGAAGGACAAGGGAATTAAAGTGCCAACGGGGGGCCCGATAAATAGCAATCAAGAAGACGCCTAATTGAAACGGCCTAAAGGAGAGGCTGGTATCACAGCGGCTGATTTATGGCTTCAGGCCATTGAAGAGGTAATGTCACGCCTCATCCATATAGTCTATTTGCCTCCGGAAATTTAAAAAATATAACTCAGTACTCACTGCAGTGAGTGACAGAGAGCGCATTTTCTCGTCGACGAAAACGTGAAGTCACGGACAGACGGACAGGCAGACGGACAGACATGACGAGCACAATAGCGCCTTTTTCCATAAGTCAGAAAATGCGCTATAAGAAAAGTATAATGTGGAATAATTCATTTACATTCATCAACATGCTAGTTAGAAAACAGGTTTAATTGCTTCAAACTCTTTTTAAAATTACCAAGAGTTAGTACTCCTATTTCATATATTTTTGCTAAGTAATTTTTACTCTCACTGTTCCCAGTCTATTATAGAAATTTATTATTACAAATATTTAAAAGTGCTCACAAAGAACTATAGAAAATCTTTTGAAATTCCCAATGCTTCAGTGAAAAGAGTATAGTTCAGTAATTACGATCAACTGAACTCGATGCACGAAAAATTTATGTACAAAAATTGAAGTTTGTCATGATGAAAAATACATACGGTACGAATGAAAATAATTCATTGCCAGGAAAAGTCTTCTGTCCGAACCGATCCTTTGATCAGTTTGATCATAGATCTTGATTACATATTCTCTCTGTATTTTTATACATAGAGTACAAAAATGGACTGAATAACTCATCAAAGTCACGGCTTCAGTCAAAATTTCGATTAAGCTACATTATTCATGACATTTACAATGCATATATTTCGGCATCCTAAGAAAATTATATCCCAAGGTAGAAAGTAAGTGTACGGTAACAAACACATGTTAAGCAAGATCACCATTCAATTACGCAAATTCAGAAATTTCAGACTAAATGCAACCTCCGGACAAAAAATTCAACATCCTCATCGATAGCGAGCAGAATCGAGGCCAGTATTTCAGCAATGAATAACGACAGCGATAGACACAGAAACGAGGGCATCGAATATGAGTTGCGAGCAACAAAGGGAATCAAATCACATCCATTAGCGCAGAAGAGGGGAATCGGAAGCAATATAACAACGGAGAGGAAGACTTCCTCAGACGACACCAGCGATACTTTTTTTAGCGCTGCCTAAGGCGGTGTTGCTCCATCAACAAATTGCAGCCATGGGACCAAACGCCTACAACGGCTCCCTGAGGGGCGGTTTGAGGGACGCTTGCGTGAGGGGCGATGTGAGGGGTGATGTGTGAGGGGCGGTGTGAGGGACGCTTGCGTGAGGGGTGATGTGAGGGACGGCTGCGTGAGAGGCGATATGAGGGACGGCTGCGTGAGGGGCGATGTGAGGGGAGGCTGCTCGGAGAGCGATGTGAGGGGTGGCTGCGTGAGGTGCGATGTGAAGGAAAGCTGCTGTGAGGGACGGTTGCGTGAGGGGCGGTGTGTGGGAAAGTTGTATGAGGGACGGAATGAGAGGGAAGACTGTGTGAGGTGATATGTGAGGAAATGTGACGACTTGGAAGATAGCGTTTTTAACGCAGTAAAGGAAGGTTGCATTGCGGTCGCGGAACGCTTTTAGTTATCCGAATGAATTCCAAAAATTATTAAATATTATAAGCGCAATCAGCAAGCGCAGCACTCACAATTGCAAGTTCATTAATGAAAAATAAAAACACGAGTTTTCCACAATACTTACGCATAAAGTATAAATTCCACCACTTCAACTGCCTGCTTCTGCCAACAGTAAGTATTACGTGTAAATGCCATTCTCATTAAAATCAACATCATACATTGCAGGCTCTGGAACGACGTTCATTTTAATGTATAGCAATGAATGACAAGAATTTAGCTCGGAATATTACCATCCTAACAATGATCGCTAAACCCCGCTAGATCAAGCAGCTAGCGGATGACTCGTTGACAATGGCCATCATAAGATTGAAATAAAGGGAATTCCCTCTGTCCAGGCCACGAGGGAAGAACTAACGGATCGTCCCTCACTCGGACAAGGGAAGAAAAGTTTCCCTCGGTGTCAGCAATATTGCCTTATTGCTCCATTGAAGACAACATGAGAAATATGTGCGTCTGGTCGAAAGAAACTTCGGACATTTCTGATGTGCGACAGGCCGAGGTACAGCCATTTAGCTGCAGTTGCTGCTCACCAAAGTTTGACAGCGTGCCGCCTCGCTGAACATTTTTATTGCCCTTAGAAAATTAAATTATACTCGATCTTTTCGTCACCGTTCACATGATATTTCCAGAAAGCTGTGAAAGATTCGAAGGAAAATATCACTTTGACAATAGATTCCGGCAGAAGATGTTACCGCCTTTTGATAAAATAGATTACTTTTTCGGGGAATATTCTTTACATGAAATGATGTTGCTTGGCCGAATGGATGCATAACTTGAGAGGTTGCGGACACATACGGAACTCTTCAGCCGGGATATCGGTTACATCAAATTGATGACACGTTATTGGAATAAAATACTGCAGTGCGCAATAATTTGGTGTCGATTTTATTTTTAAAATAAATCAAATGGGATTAAAATTGATATTGAATTGATGGGATTTTACGATAGGAAGAGTAGTCTCGAAAATATTTCCCGATGACGTTAAAACCGTAAAGATTTAAAAACAGAAAGAAAATATGCATATATTTGTGTCTATATAAAATAAATTTAACTTTTGATTCGTTTCAATATATATTAGCTTTCCCCGAAAACACCAGCAACGAGGAAAAAATTAAAAGCACCCTTAGCAGTAGGTAAATAATTAATGTAATTAAAATCCAACAAGTGAGTAAGTTGAAGCTTCTGTTACCCC